TCGCTACTTCCCTGCGCCTCAGAATCTGAATCTTCGGCTTTTGAGGACCGTAAGTAATTACTAGAAGTGTTTGAAAAGGTATCGCGTTTTATCCTGACCTTCTTTCCATCAATACTCGATTGGGCGGATTTTATTGCGCTGGTTGCAAATTGGTTACCACAGTATGTAAGGGAGATGTCAGCGCTGTTGTCGATTTGAACAACGTGAACTCCTGAGACTTCTGTTAGAACTTCGTTGTACTGGATAGCAGAAGAACAGAGAATTGCACTGACGTCGATTTCATTGGAAATAAGGGTGGTTTTGTTAGTCAAAACAGCTTCCATGTTCTCCACTTTTATTGGTTTGATCTCAATGCTGATAGGGACTAGTCTCACACCTACCTGTATGCCATGATCATTCACATTTGGTCCAATAAGACTGGACGTTGTGGGATTCACTGTGATCAATTGCTGCTTTGGCGTCATAGGTCCATTAGCAGCTTCCCTTGCGGATTTAGAAGTACTTTGAGTGCTCGCATTAAATACCACAAGTTTAAACTCGGAAATGGAGTCCTTAAATCCAGTCGAGTCCGTCTGGTTGAGTGAATTCCCACTTTCTGAACGGACTATAACTTCTGCCTGCAATCTTAGACTACTCTCATTTAAAAGGAGGTTGCTTGAATTTGCCTGTATCCCTTCAACAGGAAGTTTTATGCTAGCATTCCGCAGAGATTTGTTTGTAGTACTTTCCCATGAACCAGAAACGGAATCAACTTTCTTATTTGAACTCTCCTTACTGACTGTTCGGGGAAATGCCAAAATGGGCACCGGTTCTTTACACATTCCAACACCTATTTCTGCTGGCTGATCAAGTGAACAGATAAAAATTCCGCTGTCTTCACATAGTTCTGTTATCGTAACGATCTCTGCAGGACACCGAGCAGCTTCAATCAAAAAGCTTTCTTTTTCGTTACGGAGGGAGGAAACTGATTCGAGCTTAAGATTTGTAATGGGTATTTGAGAAACCTTAAGCGCTTTCGGAACTAGCCTTGTACCTACCTGGACCTCAACAGAGTGTTTCGAGTTCGAAGATGAAATGTTTTGATCGTGAAGGTTGGATTCACTCAAACGTTCCATTGTCAATGAGACAGTTTGGGACACTGCTTCAACTGCTACATATCCCAGTTGTTGTGCCGCCTTATCGCCACTGTACTCAATGCTTCCCTTGGGCGCAGGCTTAGCTCTAATCGTCAACTCCTCCAGCTTCTTCGATCCGGAAAGAAGTTCACAAACAAGGGCTTGGGATGCGAGTTCAGGAGTCCTAAGTCGGCCATCAAACTGACTAGTTTCCATCACAAGACTAGCTGGAAGTAGATTCGACTTTCGCCTTTCCTGTGTTTGCAAACCAATCGGTGCAGCGTCAACCCAGCCGCTCGAAGAGTGAGTGTAATGAACTAGAGGATCCACTTCTGGACTGCTCATATTTACGACTTCAACCTGGTCTAGCGGAACAACTTCGATTCCACTCTGTTCATCCATGAGCTTGCTTCTTAGTTCAACCTGAGCAGGATAGAGTAATGCTGATGCGGACAAAGTCTGTTCGCGATTTCTCCCCCTCTGACTTGCCACTGAGACCTCCATATTCTCCAAGTGTACGGGAGCAATCCCAATGGCTTGGGGGACAAGTTTCGTTCCCACCTGCACCGACGCATCTGTTGTTACTGAGAGAATTTGAGTGACCGTATCTGATGATGCAGTTTTTTGTCCTTTTTGTCCCCATGGTATCAGTCGAATACGATTTTGTTGGGGTAATTTGCTGGTACTTCGCGTTCCTTGCCAGATGTTTGTTGTCCTTATAGGTAATTCGAATGTAGCTGATGACTGTAACCCCGCATACCCATCGGTATCACTCATGTTTTCGGAACAAACACTGAATGCAATCTTTTTAGAGTTTTTAATGCCAGCAATATACACGCCTGAACCTTCTACCAGATGTGGTTTTACTTTCACTTTCGCTGGACATGTGACTGACTTCATTCGTACTTTATACACATCGCCATCGTTGTCCTCTTCAAATTCCAAATCCATATTTTCAATGTCGCATCGCGACATTAAGATTTCAGCTGGTATCAGCTCCACAGCAACCTGTGCCTCAGCATCAATGACACATGGGCTTCGCTGTTGTGCTTTGAGTTCACCGTACGTTCCTTCGCCTTGGGATTGTGTTCCACTATCCGAAACGACATTGCAGATTTGTGTTTGGCTTGAAAACTTTTTAACACCTTTAAAATCAGGGTCAAATTGCATCTGGATTTCGCGATATTTTTGATGGCACTTAGAGCACACTACTTCACCAATCACGCGAACACTTTGGTCAGTTCTAGCAGTGATATTTGTCTCTGTTATGGGTTTGCATTTAGCTGACCAATCACCTTCCACGGTATCATACCTTCGAGCAAACTCGCTGCCATATTCATCAAAATTTCTCATCTTTTTGGTACCATCTGCTGATCGATATATGTCGCTGATTTGGGTCTGCAAGTCGGATGTTGGAGTTTGCGGTGCATGAATAGAGGGGCCTGCAATATCAGCTACCACAAATTTCAATTTTGGAATGTATTTTGAACTGGCAACAACTTCCCCTACTGCACTTTTAGTTTTATCTATTCGCAGTGCGATTGCCGCTTGTGTTTTTAATCCGCTATTTGATCGGGTCTGTGAATCTCTGGGGCTGACTGGGACTTCATCCGGCATCAACGAGCCTCTTGCACCTGAACCATCGTGAGTGACTAAGATGTCACTCAAGCCGCTATAATCAGCTAATTCAAATCCACTTCCTTCATAGAGCTCGAATTCAAATTTCATATTAGCAGGACAAATGAGTGAATCAATCGGTACATCTATATCAACTTTACGTAGTGGATCAACAAAGGATACTTCCATGTTCTTCATCCCAATCTTGCCCACAGTTACTTCCGTTGGAACAAGTTTCGATGAGACTTGAGTGCCGACGTCGTGCACTACTTTGCATATAAGTGTTTCAACATCTATAGGTTTCAAATTTTCATGCGACTTTTCATTGCCTTCCGCGAAACTAGTAGCGTATGGTTTCTTTGTACACAAATCTAATGTTTCTGAATGGAGTCCGTTCCGTTTTTTATAGTCAGAAAGGTACGATTCCAGGTCTGAGTGGATTCCTCGTGAATGCAAAAGACAGCTAATTTGAGTCATGACAGTGGAAGTTGAGGGCTCGTTTGCTATAAATTCCACACTCTTCGTGTCCTTTCCAGGCAAAAGACACAATGATGCGGTTGCTCCCTCGGCTATTCGTTTCTTTGGTTTTTGCGAAGGAATGTTCACAACCTCCATTGTCGCCATGGCCTGTACTCCTACAGCCTTGTTAATAGTTCCAACCTGAGCTTGAACTTCAGAACGTACGGTTTCTCTATCCCGAGTATCACCAAGAAGATCCTCACGGATTGATGCTGTGGCTGGGCTATTAGACCTTGAGAATATTTGAGCCTGAACATCACGAACTTTTAGCCTTCTGTGGGCATCTGCAGTTGCGTGGGCAACAGAGTCCCTTAGCTGTAGATTGATTGAATCAATATCATTAATGCCCATAACTTGCACTCCAGGACCTTCGACTAAATCCATCGACGTTCCAACAGTCACTGGACACAAGACTTGCCCCACACGAAGACCAAGGCCGGTTAATTCACTACTGTTTTGCACCTCCAGGCCGAGATTATCAATGTCTACACGAGAGAGGTCAATCGCCTTCGGCATCACACGTACGCCCACTTGTGAACTAGCATTTTTTGTCACTCGAATAATCTGGGCTTGAACATCGGTAGTGTTTTGATTTCTTTCACCCTTGGTATTAAGCTCAGCTTTTACTCGCGCTACGGAACTGCCATGACCACTAAGGAGAGTTTGCCGTCTCGCATTTGCGTCATAGAAGGTATCTGACTCAAAAGTACTACCGGTTTCATCGCATTGTGTTGAGGCGCTTATTGTGACCCTGAGGATTTGAGTTTGGAGATCATTGGTGCTGGCGCTTCGTCTTAGACTCATTGCGTTGCCAGCCCAGACCCTGCTGGTAGCGCTTTCTTGAATCACGCCACCCGCAAATTTCATACCGCTTGGTTTGGAACGTGTGTGTGAGGTTACCATTTGCTTTGCGACTTGTCCGTAATCAGAAGAGGGAGTGTCACTTCTATTTTGGGGATTGCGAAATTTGTTGGAGGGCTCGTAGACATCGGTTTCGTAATGATCAGCGGAGCTGCGGTAGTCGTTTCCAACCACATTTGGTTTCGTAAGACGGGTAGAAGGAAAATGTTTTAGGATATCATCAACGGGCTCGGAAGTGTAGTCAGCGATGCTTCTATCAAAGGCTCTTCTTTTGCTCTTCCACTCCGCCATCCTATTTGCCAAACTCTTTAGTTGATTTTCCTTCTCTTTTTGCAACTGTCTACAAAGAAGAATATCGAAGTTCACACCATCAATACATGGATTATAAGTGTATTTAAAAGTCCATGGATACATTTATGAAACTAACAGAGTTTGTGCATAAAACATTTACCACCCATTAGCATACAAAAATACGCGACTTATTTAGGAAACCAGTTTTCAAGAAAAGTGGAAGATCTTGAGGCCTAAACCCTATTTTCTACAAGGTATGCCTTCTTAGATGCTCAACACCACATAGCAGAGGTTCGACACCAATGCTAATAGACGTCAAAGGGACTGGTGAGGCTTAAGCAAACAGTGGAAAGTCCATGTCCATTGAATGAGAAAGCATTAGGTAATGAAGATAAAGATGGTAAAGCTGTATGGGATGTCTCGCATAAAAATGAGGCTACTTTGGCATTATTCAATGGGTTTACCAACTTAATGATGTCACTAGAAATTAATTTTGTCGAATTTCATCACTTACAACTCTTAGAAGGCCTTAAGGTTGACATATAATTCGCCTTTAAGTTATCGTGGGTCAGTCAGTTCAAACTGTTCTTAATTGCTCCGGAATGTCACACTACAGTGGATTCTCTGAAAGGAGACCTACTCCATGCGGGCGATCTCGTTGTAGATGTGCTGGCGCTCATCCTCGACAGATTTGAGATAACGCTGCACTTCGTCGGCAGTCATGCTAACCCGTGCCTGGACCTGATCCACGTGGGCCATCTGGTTAAGCAATAAGCGCAGTGGGGTGTGTAGAGCTCGAATGTCCGACTCAGTAAGTGCTATTGCGCCACGCGGAGGTCGTCGATTCGCTGTTAACGACCCATAAAAATATGTTTGTAAGGAGTGGAGCGTCTCAGTCAATGTACCAACTCCCTTTATGTTAATCTACTCTATATCCATGACTTAATCATTTAAAGGACATATTTTGCTCCATACACCAGATTTAGAGGCCACAGGGTGTCAAGCGTTTAATGAAGGGTGCGGTTTTGTGCATTCTTAACAGGACCACTTTGTGTATTATGCCAGCGCCTTTATGGGGCCCTTTTTGGTAGGCATGCATGAGTTGCGATTTACTGCGGTTCAGATGCCCGAATTTAAGGCAATTTGTTGTTAGATGATAGTATTTTCATTGGCCTTCAGAGAAGCTCGACTACCATCGACACTTCAATCAAGTCATCTCGCCCTCTTTCCTTAATCTCTTTAAGTTCGAATACACCGTTTTACAATGCCTTTGCAATGATTAAAAGTCATTGCTGAGTTCATAGCCCACTCCTCTCAGGTTTTTGTAAAGACGGGTGTAACTATGCTTGTGTGAAAATCAATTGGCCCATAGGATTCTAGCTCTAATTTTGTGATGTTCTCAAGTCAAAGTTGTTCATAAGAACGCTATATGTAGAAGTAGAGTTTAACTATGTTTTAGGGTTGTATCGAACTGTGGCCAATTCTCTAGGCGAAAAACAACAAATCCTAAAGCAGAACTACATTTCTCAACTAGCTATACAAGCACAACTCTTTTAATGTGGCGAAAAGTGCGGAGACGCGGTGCACGCGTGGAGTAAGTGTTGGTTGCATGTGCGGATATCAATGAGCGTGGCGTCACTGTGTGGTATCATCTAATTTCATTATTGTTTTTACATGAAAACAGGTTCATGCTAAATATACATGCTGCAAGAGTTTGCCGCTTTCCATGGTATGAAAACTAGCTGCAAATGCAACGTAAAAGGTGTCTATGTGGTGCCAATTCGTTAACAGTGTCATTTCGAAGTAATTAGCTTTATGAGTTCTAGTTCCGCAAGACACGAGAGTATTGAAGAACCTACGTGAAAGAAGCATTAGAGTGTTGGTGAAAGCTTCATACGCGTGATGGAGGATCCCACTGTCGTAGTTGGGCGCAATTAGGATGCTGTCAATGTCGTCAAGGAAGGCGTTCATTGCGTCCTCGTGAGCAAAGTAGACAACCTGCAGATTGGGAAGTATTAGCGTAGAAGTTCCGATTTAGAATGCCTTTATGGGTCCTGCTGCTGTCACCATTTCTATTGACGGCATTTATACTCCCCCATTCACTAACACCGGGACATACAATCCTCCTTGGGTGTTTTCTGTTTGATCCATTGAGATATTTCCTAACTTCATTTAATCAGCGTAAAATTCGGGTCGCACAGTTTACAATTCAAAAATCTTATTTGTTGATAGAAGCAATTTCCAGGGGTTGTTTCCATGCGCCGACGATTTCAATCTCTGAAATTGAGCAGTCACTGCATTTGGAGGGTATGCGAATTGTCCAAATGCCCAAACCAATAATAATATGAACACTTACGCTACCTTAAAGTAAGTTGAAAAAGGATGTCATGATTTTTTTCGAGTATGCAGGTGGAGGCAAACCAAAACCGCTTGCATTGGCAGTTGAAGTCTAAATTCCCCAGTCATTGCGTGCGTGAAAGGCGTAGTGCTGATGAGTCCTTTAACTAAGCCATAAAATCTCTGCACAGCTGCCATAGGCCTCAAACAGAATGCCTTGAGGTAGCCCTTCAAGATCTGAGTGTGTGCGCCAGCACAGGATAAAAAACGTTTAGAGGGAGCGGTTGGCGTAGCCATGCACTAACATTTCTAATTTCAAAAGATTAACACACGGCAACACTTTGGTCTAATTTGTAGGCGAAAGAGACTCTGTTTAGCTTAAATATACCGCATATTTACGAAGACATGAAGCTATCGAGTGCGGATCAGTGTGGAATTACATTTTGTAATGTTTTAAACCTACATCGTGTTGGCAGTAGCGTTCAAAGAGAGTGGCGTAGTACTTCACCAGTCTGCCTTTTGTACGCTCCAAAACGCGCTTCCAATCTGAGACGCACTTTTTTTGGAGGCTAAAGGGTGTTTCAAAAAAGTGACCAACAAAATAAGCATTACCAATGCTGCATAGTGGGTCAGCAGGGTGGTGGGATTATCAGAGAGGGGCTCGTATAACTAATAAGGCATTCCATTTGTTTGCAATGATTTCCTTTGAAATGCAGGCAAATATTCGATTAATTTATTTTTCATTATTAAACATTGAAAACTGTGTGCTTTTCACGCAACATGTGCACAAAATATGGAGCGAAGAGGAAAAATGTTCCGTGACACAGTTTAATTGTCAGCGTTAGCGCCAACACCTTCCTCTGACCCAAAGCAATATGCAATTGAAAGTAATTGTAGTAATCCCAATAATTGTTGCCATTTATGAATTCTTCTTTGAGATGTGATCCCATTATGGTTTAAAGCGTGAATTAACAGGTCTATGAGTGGACTATTTATATGGGTTAAATTGCGGCATATTTCTATGAGCTGGGTGTGTCAACCAACAAATATTCCTCCTGTCTATTTCCAAGTTGTGATTCATAGCTTAAGCATCACACGACCTCCAGTGTTGTGCATTTGACGCGCTCCTCTAAGCCCTTAACAAAATGGCGCAATGGAACCTAAGGCAGGTTCTTTTCCGTTCCGGAGCATTTTTAGCTGAATCAAAATGACACTGACCAAATTATCATTAACAATGGTATTTTTGCATAGCTCATACCTGTTTGCCTTAAACACTTCATTCTGATTGGGGCCTAGTGTGGTAAAAATAATTGAGGGTGCTTCACGCTCCCCGAAGGTCGTTTTTACTCGCCAAAAGTTGGGATTCTCGTTATTCATTAGGATCATCTCCTCGCCCTTCCGTATGGCAAAGTCGGGTCCTGAGAAGTCGATCAGCGCCTTCACCATCACAACTTGCTGGGCTACACCCTCAGGTGCGTCCACGGTTCGACCACACACGACTCGCGAATGGCGATTTCGTAGGGACTTCATGTAGCGTGCCATGCCAGTAAGTTGGCAGGTCTGATCCCACGTGCGTGTCAACTCAACGTGGTCAGCCTTTAAATGTAAAAAAATCAAGTTTGCTAGAGTGACTCCAAGTAAAAAAAGGTGGTCTGTTTTGACGAATAGAAAACATTGTTTGCGATTTTCTACAGAAATTACATCGTAACTCAGATCTAGCTTAACACCACCCTAGAGGGGATTAATTTTAAGTGAATAGGCAGTTGTCGGACCCTCTTTTGACCGACATTGCGTGAACAAAGTGGTTTTAAAAGCGTTATGCAATTGTGCTGCAAACATCGCATTTCCATATTTCCAAATCATAATGAGGACGATTAATTTTTACAATGCGTACTTGCCGACACCGAAACTGAAATAAGCATCGACACTGAGATTCGGTCTATCTTTTGCAAGGATAGTTGTAAGACCAATGCAGTTTTAAGAATCAGTATTAAAAGTGTTTATAGTAGAAGGCA